TTAAGATGCGCTTTCGACAACAACTCAGGAGATCAAGATTCCTCATGCCATGCATCTCAATTACTTTAAATAAATCTTTTCTTTATAAATACCGACTGCAATCTAGTGACGAAAGTAAAATGGCCTTAAGTCTGACACTAATCGTACCCGTGTGGATGACGGGTCCGATCTTTAGTTGACAGTGATGAAAGTTTATGTAAGACAGCGATAAACTTACTTATAAAAGGGATAAAGATGATGCCACCGTAAGCTACACAGCCTGGCATGTACCTTGGAAGCGTCTGCAGACGTTTGATGTCGATGATACTCGTATCCATTGGCCACTAACATGATCATAGTTCAAACAAATCTAGCAGTGTGCGGTTGCATCGGGTCTCTGTCAAGCAGTACTTCCCCGAGGTGGTATCTCTCAACAGAAACCTTGACAAGATGGTGTACACGATAATTTTGATCGATAGGAATTAATGGTATTATGTGCATGCTGCGTCGGAGTAATTATAGACTGAAATACGCGGCAGCCGTCTGGCAATGTACTACTTGATACGTGTATCGCTACTTTGAATTTGCTTAGCATTCCACTGGCACTTGCCAGTCGAGCGATCTCACCATGCGCCAAAGTTTGTCCATCTGTACGTTGATTATACTTATTTTGTCGCGTGAGGGAGAGGTCAAATCTGTACGTCAAGAGCTGTTAAAGCGCTTCAGTCAGAAGTCATTTATGTAATATACTTCGTATAGAAGTAACAAATAGCAAGAATAAGGACGGATTGTGTGTAGTCACTGAGGTATGGGGACAAATTTCGCCACAGTGACAGATACTTACTGCGCAATTTAATCGTGCTTTTAAACAAGTGAAAGATGGTGTCATTTTTGATGGCGTGAAGCAGCTTCGTGCATTAACTGGTTTACTAATGTACTACTTATCCCAACATTTGCGTTACGACTGAGCACTTTTGCACTTTCAAGCCAGTCCCTATGAGGATCATTGACATGCTGATGTCCGAATCATTCGCATATAAAGTAGCCAGTAGTACGTTTCAAAGAATTCAAATAATGCATGCAATTTTATTGCGCTATGTGGAGCGAATCGGCGTAGTGATACAGTTTAGCGTCGATCGACATCCGAAATTATAGTCTAAGTTGCTGGTGCACTAATATATCACACGTGTAAATGACAGCAGACGGTAGTTTTGTCCTCCACGCAGACAGGGTATATGTCGATGGCGTTGGTAGCACATGACGCGGTGTGGCTTCAAATTTTCCTCCAAGCATTAGGACTAAATGAAATTTGCATTATATCAAACCATGACTACACATCGTAAACCACATGCATTGATCGGTTTCCTTAACTTGTGCCAGACCATATATCAAGAGAGGCCATCAACAATCTTGATGTCCTGTCCGCGCAATAGTCGTAGTTCTGCTAATGAAGCCTTTGACGAGACCACGATGAAAATTTCTTTTTGATTCAGTGAAGTTGTCGTATTTAATGCTAGTCAATCGTCGCTGTGGACATCGACTTGAGGGGAGTGTTGAGGCTCAAAACATTGGTTACAGTGCAGTATCACGTCATTGATAGACAGAGGCAAGGTGTTTCCGTCATCGGTCCTCGAAAACGCATGATCAAAATTGACAGGACTTTAGATTACGATAGCTAAACATAAGTAAAAGACTCACTTATACTCTATAGCTCATACGGCGAGAGTGAGCTAAGGTTACGGTCAGTTTAGATTATTAAAATAAATAAGCTCGTAAAAATCTAAAATCCCCTGTCGGTGCAAAGATGATACTTCCACTAACACGGTACAGCCTTGCTGCGAGACTCGACATTTTTAGTTCTCACCACCGTTCGCGTAATGTCATGATTGTCGCGGCGGTGTTTTTATTCAACAAAGCCAAATCAGTATTTGCACTGAAGCATTCAAGATCTGGCCAATGAGAGAGCCTATATGAAGTGTATTCATAGTTAAAAGACTTTCTTGCATTGGTACAAGCTTAAAAGTAAAATTCAACTTCTACCTATCCGTTGAGATCGCGCAAAACAACGTTTCATGTGTCTTATTCTTGACCCTCAAGTTTCTTTGAAAAACGTCATCAACTGACGTCAGACTCCAATGACCACAATTGTCTGCAATCACATCCAGAATCCATTTGAGAAAACATAAAAAAGACTTATGGGTATATTTCAAGCTTGAATACGTAATCTAATTTCTATCTTTAGAGAGCACTAGCAGAAGTAAGAATTCTTATATACTTTTATAAGAACTCACTCGGTAAGATATAGAGAGACTTAAAGCACAACATCGCGTCTTCTCATTTTCCAAATCGCGTTCAACCTCACAAGCTTATCAAATATCATGGCCTCCGGTAAAAAGACTGTTCTCATCTCTGGCAGCACCCGAGGCATTGGACTTACGTTCGTCGAGCACTATGTAAAAGCTGGTTGGAATGTCATTGGAACAGCTCGTGCTAGCAGCAACACGGACAAGGTAAAGTGCATTTTTGGATGATCTCTTGGTGTTTCATATGTAACGATTTGTTTTTATATCTTTACAGCTGAAAGCACTTGGCCCTTACAAGATCGTCACAATGGACACGGCTGACGAGGCTTCAATCCTTGAGGCTGCTCGTCAGTTGGAAGGGCAGCCTATTGATCTACTGATCAATAATGCAGGCATTTGTGGCTTTGGTACACTTAAGACCTCCACAAAGGAACTTATGATGAGTCAATTCGAGGTGAATGCCGTCGGTTCTTTCCTTGTCACGCGTGCGTTGCTACCTAATCTAGAGCTCGCTGCCAAGGCCAATGGCAGTGCCAGTGTTGTGCAACTTTCATCGTTCCTCGGCAGTATCGGCGGATACACAGACGCTACTCAAGGCTTTTACAATACGGTTGCCTACGGTTACTCACCTTCCAAGAGTGCGCTTAACATGGTTACTCGCTCTCTGTCGATGGATCTGAAATCGAGCAACATTGTAGTCGTCGCAGTGCATCCTGGATTGGTGGACACGGACATGACTGGTGGTATGGCCACGCTGAAGCCTTCGGACAGTGTGGCGGCCATGACCAAGTTCATTGCTGAGCTAAAAGCTGA